TGTGTACCCTTTCGTTGTGAATGTAATGTATTCTCATCACACTAGGAAGTCACCCCGACCCCCTCTCTTTCGATCGGCTAATTTGACTCGGGCCTCCAATCCGGGTCCCCTCATTATCTAGTAGATCCGTTCCTTATCTTTCTGGTTGACCGATTTTTCTGGGTTCCAGTTCCAGTGTGCATTTCACTCTATAGATTTTTGTTTTTTGATTTCTTTTTAAATTATAATCTTACAATGGATATTCATATTATCAAATAAGCTTGCTTTATTAGAACAAATCTATTTACCTATTTACCATTTTTGTGTTTAGATGCGTTGACGAGCTAATATTCTTCCTGCAAACGTGTCTTGATCAATTGACATTACTTCTGCGAGTCTTTCGCGAGCCCTTGCTTGCTGCAGTTCGACAGAGCATGACATTTGCCTCCACTCTTTCACAGGCAGAAGCTTTGCTTCAGCCTTCAGATCTTAAAGCATCGTCAAGTGATATACTTCCGACAGTAAGCGAGTTAGATGTGCAGCTTGTGTTTGGCAGCCTTTTAGAGTTGCACAATAATATCCGTATGCTTGTTGACGCACTTGAGGCGGAAACTGATGAAGCCGAGCCCTGCCAGCCGGTCGGAACATCCACCAATACTACTAGCATAGTTAATGCGACAACTGAACCTGGGGCGGATAAGACAGCCCGTTCAGATCAAATACAGACCATTCATCCATCGCCTGTCCGAAACGAATCGGTCGTGTCATCTACTCATCTCGATTACAAGAAATCTCATCTCGACTCATGGGATCGAGTTGGCTCTGCAAACTCACCATCACTTTCCCGTTCGTCCTCTCCTTCGCCTTCACTATCAATATCTTCAGCCCCCTTGGCATCCAGCCCTCCTAGCGTATTTACCCTCCAATCAGGAATGCTGAAACCCCCAACTCCAATGCAGCCTCGATCAATTCTTGGGAATCGGATTGGACCTGCAGTTTCTGGGCCTCATCTTGATCGCAGGACAATAAGGCGGCGGAAGCGTCGATTGGTTGGTGTCTGTTTGATTGAACCGGCAGAAGATGATTCACTCGATGTGTTTAGCCAGTATGCAAGTACCATTCTTGGGGCGGACTCCCGCGATCGCTCGTGGCAGTTGGCAGATTCACCTGAAGTCGCAGGAGCACTTTGTCGTCTCAGTCGTACTTTACTACATACTGCAACACGTGCCAAGGCGAGTTTTAATATATGATTCTGATACCACAACCGCCGATAAATGCGAACTCATGTTTTATTTTAAGAGTAGTTTGCCTTATTTTTTGAATTCTTGTTTACTCACAGCTGTTAAAGCTTAACTTAAGTAAGTATAAAGACTAGTGTGACGGGTAATTATATTGTGCATACATCTCATATAACTAATTTCATGGTAGTCTCTAAGCTCTACTTATATACGAAATTAAGTAATGTAGTCTATGGTTATAGCAAAATTACGTTTGCTTGATCGGCAATCCCACCAAAGAATGTGATATGGGAAAAGGCCTGGCCTTCCTTGAAATTTACATCTACCCTGTTACCTAAGAGCATTCATGGCAATGTGGCCGAATGGTTAACGTGTCAAGCTTAGATGCTGCACTGTCCGGTTCGACTTCGGCTAGGGATATTGATAAAACCTATGCGAGGTGGAATCTGCAGTCCACTATGGATGAGAACAACTTTTGGGAAGGCAAGGCTCTGTGAAATTCATTGGAAACCTCAGCTCTACTCATATCATTGTGGGAAAATTCTAGTACCAGTCCTTCATCATCTTAAACGAATAGGGTAAATACATCTCATATAACTTCTTTACTGGTAGTCCCGAAACTCTACTTATATACTAAAATAAAATTAAGCAACATAATTTTTAACTTCGTTTCGTATGAAAGTGCATGAAGAAGAGATTTGTTGTTCGATCTCACCAGAGTAGGACGGATGAATCTCCTTGTACTGCAGCCATTTGGATTTTATACGATATTCATGTTGACGCAGTCCACGGGACTTTCGCCCCCATTTCGGGTGTAAACATGATGAGCTTTCGTCCATCATATGATGGGGTTGGAAGTCTCGTGGACTGCGTCAACATGAACATCGTATAAAATCCAAACGGCTGCTGTACGAGATTCATCGAACAACGAATCTCTTCTTCACGTACTTTCATACTAAATGAAGGTCCCTCTAACAATCTTATCTCAGGAGATTCATCGAAACCAAGTTTCTCTTCGTATCTAGTTTTACTATTTATCAAAATCTGAACTTTTTATTCTAAAACCCTTTTTTCTTGCCACTTAATGATTTATTAAGTAATTTTAATAAGCTATATTAGCTTTTAAGACTTCAATGAAGTTAAACAGTGCATAATTTTATGATGTAGCCATAGCATTTCGAAATTTTAAGCCGGTTTTAAGCTGACACGATGCTTTTTTCTTATTGCATCAAAAGCTTGTTTTTTTACCTTCAATCTTAGTCTTATATATTGCTGCGTTTCCCAGTGTTGCATAACCACGATTGCATCAAAGGAATCAGATTACTCATGCTATCAAGATTTCGGTTTGAGGAAATTTGTGTTTAAGAAATATATGTATGAGAAATATACACTAACCTACAAAGAATAAACGTCACATTCCTTGTTTAAATAATCCACATATTGTATAAACTTCAGAAACCTGGAGTATAAAATAAAAGTTATTATTTTTTATGAGTTTTTACCAATTTATGCACTCTATTAAAGATTATCCTATCGAATACTCTGTTTATATGTAATTTTAAATATCCAATCAAAACAGCTTTGCACTCCTGCACCGTCTATTTCATTAGCAAGCATCTTTTACATTTTCTTATAAAACGAATTGGCCTAAACAAATAATGCTAAGGGCAGAATAGAGAGGATCAGTTGTGTCTGACTAGAGCATGACATGTCATATATTGGTTTAGGCCTTAAATTATATTTAAACCTACATTATTGTAATTTAAGGATCCTAAGGAAACGTAGAAGAGGACCGGGGGAGTAAAAAATAAATATTTCTGAACCCAGACGTCTGGACGTGTATGTTTGTTCTAGAATGCATAAAGCAATCGTAATGGATCATATATATTTGTTACCAATTTAATGCCATTTCCGAGATTTTAAAATAGTAATTATTATAAATTCATTAATCTAGTAGTTGGTTTAGTATTTGAAAATAAAGATTTGCTTCTAAATTTTAGTATACACTAATGTCAATATACTTATCTTAAGCAGAAGAACACTGATTTTAGAATTGACGTTTGTTCTCAGTGCTCATTTAATGAACAAAATTATGGTAATTTGTAAACCCTCCGATTAAGTAACCTAGTTTTAAGCTGTACATGGCTAATTTTTTGACAAACACAAGGATTGGATTTTAGTCAGCAACTACTTAGAAATTAACTTAATTTAAGAATCATTTTTTGTTTTTTCAATTGGTACTTAGTCATATGGTCTATTACTTTGTCATTTTGCAACATAGTAAAGCAATTCTGGATGATTTGCCCGAGTTGGTTGTTTCACAATACGCCATAAATCTTACTACACCGATTATCATATCTATTAGGATTATTTGACATTTATTTTAGAATACTGAGAGATAGGATGGGGTAGCCATGCATTTAGGACGAGACAGTCGGCTGATCAACTCCTAGGATTTTGATCTTAGCTTCCTATCATTAAAAAAAATCACTTAGGAAGTCAGGAATTAGATAATGTCTAAAAGATAAACAATACTTTCAATGATGTGGGTTGACCTCGTTGTCGCAACTTGGTCTTGTTGTCAGGGGGACTATGTAGAACGCAGCTAGTCCGAAGTCGTCTGCCATAGTAGTTGTCATTATTCAAAGCATCTGGCAGTGGACTTGATACATTCTCAAACGTTTCGCCGGCATCGTAGTCGGCATCACCAGTGAGCATTGCCATTTTCCGCACCAAGCTACGAACTCGTCAAATAGACAATTGAAGTCAATCCCTTGACAACAGTTCTGCCGCAAACAGTTACACTATCACTCCTCTTTCAGTCTTGGCCTATCTATCTACTCTTTACACTCATATCCCACTGCCGCCTTTTCACAACTTCTCACTTGTTTACATTCCAATCGTCAAAATGTCTGCCCTTTTGTGGCAAACCTAGTGTGGACTCATCACACTTGTTATTTACCCCGACCCCTTTCTTTCGATGGGCTTAT